GGTTGTACTTCAATTTGTGCAACTATTTCGCTTGGGGGGAAGTGGATTCTAGCTAAGTAAGTTCTAATCTATCCATTCATGTAAAAATTATGTAGTTACACGAGGGGTGCTACGGAATTGAACATTTTCGACCCTCATCCAACGGCCTAGTGTATTCTCTTGAAGACCCTGCACTGCCAATAACTCTAGTAAGAATTAAAAAATATCTTCAGTGTTAAAGTATTAGATTTTGATTTATGTTACTTATGATTATAACATTCTTTTAGATATTGATGAATGTACTTTGGGAAGCGAAAATTGTCATGATAATGCAACTTGTACCAATACCGTTGGTTCCTACACGTGTCAATGTAAGGACGGTTTCACCGGAAATGGCGTAGATTGTGAAGGTAGAAGAACTGATTTTCTTTTTTTTAATATCCATTCTGCATGGTAAACTTATTTAAGTGAAACAGTGCAGCACATGCTTGTCTGGTTTAAACCCTGGTTTCTTCCATTTTGTCGCACTTATTGGCTATTAAGTCATCTTTGACGAAGTGTAGCTTTATTAAGGCCCTGTTACACGGTGCAATTTTTCATGCAACTTGTCTCGCAACGTTAAAAAAAATTTGATAATGCATTGCAAGAGGTGTTGCACGCTGCAATGATTTTCATGCAACTCGCAACGATAGGGGACAGAGGCATGCGAAGAGACCAGGGAGCAAGGTGTTAGCCAGGATTTCAAAAGTTGCCGTCCAAAATAATTTTGTGGGCGTGGCCACAATTTTTTGTGGGTGCGGTCATATGTTTTTGGGTGTGGTCACAATTTTTTGTGGGTGTGGTCACATGTGTGTGGCCGCAATTTTTTGTGGGTGTGGTCATATGTTTTTGGGCGTGGCCACAATTTTTGTGAGTGTGGTCATATGTTTTTGGGTGTGGCCGCAATTTTATGTTGTTGTGGAATTGTGGTGTCTAATCGTTGAACCTTCTTACTTTTAGTTTTAGGTGCACATTTAAGCCCATAAGCCCATTTAAGCCCATTTAAGCACATAAGCCCCCTAGATGAGTGTGTACGCTCTTGGGGCAAACTCAATTTTCCAAAAATATGTTTAAATAAATACATTTCCATCATTAAATTAGTAAAAGCACACGTATGGTATGAACCGTAGTGTAGCGTTTAGTTATTTTTCATGAATCGTGGATATTTTCCCCTTTTTTATGCGTTTGGCTCATTTTGTAGCCATCTTTACCCGGTAACTGTAACGCTAAAGCACGTGGCGCACGAGTAATAAAGCGATTGCTGTTTTTTTTAAACAACGGTTTCGAATTATTCTCCTTGATACTTCATGCGAGAATCATAAACATTCTGTGATCAACATGATTACAAAAACATGGCGCGTTTGTCGATATTTCAATTCAACTATATTCAACGTGTTTTCAACGGGAAAAAGTATGAGAACATATACTATAAGTAAAGTAAACAGCAGATGACAACAGTTCGAAGTATTCATGAAATATTACAAAGCTTGTAAATTGCTATTTAAAGAAAATATTCCCGTAGGCCGTCCACAGCCGTCCATTAAAATTTAGCCGTCCGAGTTCAGAAGTGCAGTCCGTAGGACGGTCGGGCGGCCGCCTGACTAACACCCTGCTAGGGAGAGGCGCTATTTAGCGCCAAATTTTAATTAAAGTAAAGCGTGTACTGGGGAGAGCCAATAGGAACTCTCCAAGCTATAAACATTGCGAGACAAGCTGCACGAAACCATGTTACACGCTGCAATGCTAAAAATAATTAGTGAAATCGTTTCCAAAAGTAGAACCGACTTCTACTCTGTGCAATGCTTCATGCAATTTATCTCGCAACGATTTTAACCATTGCAAGGCATGTTAAACTGTGCAATGACTCGTGCAACTTGTCTCTTGATATGTGCTGTTTGAAAACCAGTTTTTACTGACTGTAAATACATAGACACCTGGGGCCGGTTGTATAAAACTCTTAATCACTTTTTTGTAGTTAAATAGTGATTAACTCTCAAATAGGCGCTTTTTATTGGATGACGTTTCCACTTAATTATAATTAACTTTAATCACTTTTTTATACAACGGCCCCAGTATTCTATTACATCGGTCAGCTTGACATGTTACTAACCATGATTACGGTAAACAAACAAAATCGATGTTCCATGCTCAATTTCTCATCAATGCTTTTACAATAAGGTCAGTAAGTTTTTTATTACATGGCAAATTAGTTGCGAAAATGGATTGCAGCTGGTCACGTTCCATTGACAGAATATGCGACAGCTTGTACTCCAGGCGGCGTGGCGAAGAACAAGCAAACAAGTCAAATTAAATGTTATTTTTATCTTCATAATTATTTTTTATCACAGATATTTATAGAGCTAGGAAAAAAGCATTTCAATGTATAAAAACACTGTTATCAACATGTGCCCTCTATATCTAGATATACTGAATGATAGATAACTATCATAAATACAATTTTACAGATAAAATTAATGTTAAAATATGTAAATATGATGCCAAGAACTAATGAGAACAAAATAAAATTACATTGAGAAATGTTTTTTTTTAAATTTTTATAAAATTGTCATAATAGTTGTGCTCTCATCTAATATTTGTAAATGGTAAATTTTATTAAGATTGGTAAATTTTATTAAGATTTGCACCGCTATGTTAAAATTACTATTTCGCGAACTCTAATCTTACTTTTTAAATTTTCAACGCACTATTCTTGTTACTTGCGTTTCAGATATTATTGATTGCAACCACAGCCCAAACTCGTACCCATGCCACAGAATCTCTCTCTGTTCGGATACCATAGGATCTTACATCTGTTGGTGTCCAGCTGGTTATAATGGTGATGGATACAATAACTGTAGTGGTACGTTCTTAATTTATTCATGAGTATACCGCAAGAAATCCTTGATTGTGTCCTCTATCTTTTTATTAGGGTCCACCCTCCATTTTCGATTAAACTCACAACGCATTTTTAGAGGAAGAAATTTAACACTCTGCACCTCTCTCCTTTAATTCTCCTCCCCTTTTCAACAATGAAAAGATGCATGTGGATTGATTACATTTATTAATTCTGCAAGTTCACAGCCGACCTTTTTGATCATGGTGCCACGTTTTGTTTCGTCATTCACATCTCACGACAACGTTCTTTTTGCATCCATGACATTGGGCATATCGCATTGCTTTATTAAAATAAGAAGGTGTTTATTTCGAGTTGAAATAGTCATTGAATTGTGCTATATGTGTTACAGTTTTGCGATTGCTATACCTATACGTAGTTATTTCTTCTTTTATTGATTCATGTAGACACAGATGAATGCCTGTTGGGAACTCATAATTGCGCAAGTGTAGCATCGTGTCAGAATATTCGTGGATCATATATCTGTCAATGTCCAAACGGCTACTTCGGTGATGGTACACAATGTGTTGGTATGCTGAACTCAACTGATTATTAATGGCTATATTTTAGTTACTTCAGATCGCGGTCATTTCCGCTGAATTAATAAGATTAAGATTTCTATTGCACAAACTTACATGTGCATATGATTTAACGCGCTTTACATCAGATATTACGCTTACCAAAATAGCCGTTGTTTATTTTCACGGCAAAAAGGCCGAACCTGCTCATGTTGTTCACACTTGTCAATAATATTGAACGATATTGTTGAGCCTGAATCGGGTGTAACAATATTGTTTAGTATTGTTGACAACTGTGAACAATGTGGGCAGCAAAGCATTGTAGTCAATCCTGTTTTCATCAATATTGCAACAACCTGATCGTTTTTTTTTGCCGTGTATATGGAAGCTGGGTTGGCCGACTTAGGGAAATAGCCCGGTTAGCAGAATGAATTTCTCTGATGTTTATGTGAAAAGGTGTCACCCTGTTTGTCCCGACAATGTTATTGTTTTTGGCACTTGTTAAAAATAGCTCGCGGCAGCATGCATGTTTGGACTTTCATCCCAGTAGATGAACCAGTCAGCTTGCAATTGTTTATATGGAAATTGTCATTCTGGTAAGCGAGAGCTCGCCTCTTTCAAACGTGATCTCCGCAACCGAGCCAGCTTGTATTGCAAGTATGTTGTTTTGTTTGATATGAGAAAACAAAAGAAAAGTATAAACAATTGAATCATGTTTTTATAGATATTAATGAATGCGTGCCTGGAACTGACATATGTCACGATAATGCCAGGTGTGACAACACAATTGGATCATATAATTGTACTTGCAACCCTGGATATTCTGGAAATGGCCGAGTTTGTAATAGTGAGTGTTACTTTTCTTGTTTCTATAGACGGCATTCAATAAAACATTGCAACATTGTAATGACGGGCATAAGACAAGACAATTGATTTAGAACCCAAAACATACCTATACAAGTATTTAAATGTTTAAATAATAGTATGATTTAAAACTTGATAAAAGACATATATAAGCCAGCTGAAATAACCACTGGCTAAACAAGTCAGCTGGCTTATCAAAAGAATTACGAATGCTTTGGGTCAGTAGAAAAAAGGAACAAGAACGCAAAAAATATTCACATGAACAAAATATACGTTTTATAAAATAACAATCAGATGGAGGCGGATAGAAATTTGCATAAGTTAAATGAAAATTATTGGACTAATTCAGCTTTTCAACAGTTAACAGTAATTTGGATTGACAATTTAAACACTCAATGAGTCAAAATTATGACAATGAAACTGAGCAATCCCAAGAAGTAAATTACACATTTGCAAATTGCTCATTCCCGTAACGTACCATTCATTATTTATTAAATTGAGCAACTGAAACTATGAGTTCAAAGAATGTTTCAAGAAATTCATATTATTAAACTTTAGAGACAAACACTCACAAAATAGAAATAATGAAAAAATAATGTTATTTTTCAAATATTTTTTTGAAGTTTGTTATTTGGTATTTTCATCAATAGAGTTCCACACGTTTGCTCAATATATCTAATATTAAATTTGCCATACTTAGTTCTTATTTTTGGAAGGGAATATGAGGATCTTTAGGAAGTATTTAGCAATTTGCCTGAATGGAAATTATACAAACACTGCGTTTTGAAGGAAAAAAAGATCGGGGAATTTTAATGATCTAGATTAAGTTTGATAAAATTGGACTTGTGTGACCATTATAGGACTGAAAGCGACATAAGTCGCACGAATCTTTTCTGAAGGACAAATATCGATTTAATGGTAGAAAAATAGGTGCTGTCCCGCACAATTATACCATTTATTAAAAGAGAATAAATCTGTGTATAATAAATATTAGTACTAAGAATATTATAAGATAAAAAATGGCGGATTTTAGACATTATACCAATACTTTGGTTCATTCTTTTAGCAATGTGAGATATGTGTAATAGGTGTAATAGGTTTTATTAATCCATCTTTAGATAAAAAAATATACAATGGATTTACATTTAAAATATTTGTGTATAGTATGTACATCGTTAAAAAAATTACATCAATCAATCAATTAATGAACACGACCTAGGGACAAACGACTTCTTGTGTTTATCCGTGTTTGATATTTTTTTAAATGTAGATTTACTTCTAAGATTATAGTTATGAATCTTTGGACTAGATAAAAATACTCGGCATGGATAATCAGTGTCTGATTGAATTTTCGCAAGTTTTCTCTTATACAGACACTTGAGCTTTCCAATTTAGATGACAATCTATCATTACACCAGAATAGTTAATATTGTCAGTTTGTTTAAGATTCTGATCTTTCAATGTTAATTATTAATTATTGCAAATGGAAGAATTTTTGGAGGTGGACAAAAGACGACAAAGCTAGCTAGACTTCTCAATATTCAACTTTGTGCATACAAGTGTATGCACAAAGCCATTCATAAACATGCATGATTAACTTGAATAGTGACAGTTGATTCTAGTTGAAACAAAGTATTGTTAGCATAAAAAATATATACAGTTCTAGCTATGAACGAAAATGTTTACTGGAGAACACCACCTAACTTGCGCCCCCCCCCCCCCCC